TTGTTGTCAGAATCTGCATTCCAAACTGAAAATTGTCTCTGAAAAATAAATGACTGCATTGTATTTGGAATCAATAAAGCAGAGATTAGGTGTGAGTCTTGGAGACTTGGGAGTGTCTCCTGCTTTTATATTTAATTCAGTCACAAGGGATACTGTGACAACTTTCAGGAATTGGAAACTCTGTGCTTGTTAAAGTTCACTGCCCAGTCACTTCAGAAATCAAATGACATTTTTAAACGTACAATCAATCCTTTGTGAATCAAATTCTAGTTTATGTGTTTTTATCAGGGAAATGAACATTATTCTCAAATGTTTACAGTTTGGGGTTCTTTAGACTTTACAGAGACTAGTATAGTTTCCTCAGTCTCAAGATATGTTTATCAAATCAACAAAAGACATTCCTGTTGTTGGTTTTTAGTAAGTTGGGAAACAAAACTATGTTTTTCTGCATGGAAATGCAAACATTCAAACATACACTGAGCCACTGAGCACATGAAAAAAATGATGGTTTTTCCCAAATATTTATAAGTGTTTGTGTGTGTGTGTGTGCGTGCGTGTGTGTGTGTGTGAGAGAGAGAGAGAGAGAGTGAGAGAGAGAAAGTGAGAAAGTGAGAGAGAGAGAAAGAATGAACCTGCACACTAACATGCTTACTAAACTTCCCAGAGTCCTTACAAGGGCTTCAAGTTGGGGTTAGAGTGAGTGGTGGTTACAAGCCATCCTGTGTTCCTGTTGGCAACTTAACTCAGTTCCCATAAAAGAGCAGTACATGTACTTAACTGTAGAGCCATATATCCAGATTCTCAGAATGACATCATTAACTACTTTTTTCTAAATGTCATGACTTTCACACATTTTTTTCTATAAAACAGCTATAACAACTTAGTATGTGGATTGTTTTGTATTTATTTATTTATTTATGTATGTATTTATTTAGTTTTTATATCCCATCTACAGTTTACCCTCCATTCTCTTCTGCCATGACCACCCTCACCCAAACCCTTTACCCCCTTCTACTTCTCTTTTTTCTCTTAAGAAAAGGGCTCCCATGGATATCAAGCAGCCATAGTATGTCAAGTTGCAGTGAGACAAAGCAACCTGGTAGGAGGAAAGGATCCGAAAAGCAGACAACAGAGTCAGACATAGTCCCTGCTGTCACCTTTAGGAGGCCACAAGAGTTTCAAGCTACCCAACTGTAACTTAAAGTGCAGGGTGGCCTAGGTCAGTCCCATGCAGGCTCCATGATTGATCAGCCTATATGTACCCCTATGAATCCAAGTTAGTTGCTAGTTACCTTTTTACTTTACAGCTAATACCAAGTACAAGTGAGAACATACCATTGTTGTCTTTTAGGGTGTAGGTTACCTCACTCAGGGTGATCCTTTCCAGTTCCATCCATTTGTACTCAAGTTTTATGATGTCATTGTTTTTAACAGCTGAGTAATACTCCATGGTGTAAATATGACACATTTTCTTTATCCATTCTCTGGCTGAGGGACATCTTGGTTGTTTCCAGTTGCTGGCCATTATGAATGAAGCTACTATGAACATAGTTGAGCAAAAGTCCTGGTGATATGGTAGAGTATCTTTTGAGCATATGCCCAGGAATGGCATAACTGGATATTGAGGCATATTGATTCCCTATTTTTTGAAAAATTGCCATATCAATTTCCAAGGTAGCTGTACATGTTTGCTTTCTGACCAGCAATTGAGGGGTGTCCCCCTGATTCCACATCCTTTCCACCATGAACTGTCACTTTTGTTTTTTATCTTTATCATTCTCAAGGTGAAAATGGACTCTCAGTGTCATTTTGATTTGCATTTTCCTGATGTCTAAGGATGGTGAACATTTTTTATTTGAGATTCCTTTGTTGAAAATTCTCTATTTAGATCTTTTCCTGTTCTGGAGGCTACCATTTTGTTTTGTCGAATATGTCCTTTGCCTTACAGAAACCTTGCAGTTTCATGAGGTCCCATTTATTAAGTGTTGATCTTAGGGCCAGTGCTACTGACTGGTGTTATATTCAGGAAGTTGTCTTCTGGGCCAATGCTTTCAAAACTACTTCCCACTTTCTCTTCTATCAGGTTCAATGTAACTAGAATTCAGGTGGGTCTTTGACCCACTAGAACTTCATTTTTGTGCATGGGGATAGATAGGGATCTATTTGCATTCTTCTACATTGTCAACATCCAGCTAGACCAGTACCATTTTTTGAAGATTTCTTTTCTTCCCATTTGTATAATTTTGGCTTCTTGATCAAAAATCAAGTGTCCAAATTGTATAGATTTACTTCTGTGTCTTCAATTAGATTACATTGGTCAACAAGTTTTGGGATTGCTTATGTATGAATCACATCATATCATATCATATCATATCACCTGAAAATAGCAATACTTTGACTTCTTCCTTTCCAATTTGTATTCCCTTGATCTCTTATGGTTGTCTTATTGTTCTAGATAGAACTTTGAATATATTGAATAGATATGGAGAGTGTGAGCACCTTTGTCTAGTCTATGATTTTAGTGGAATTGATTTAAGTTTCCCTCAGTTTGTGTTTTTTTTTACTCTTTCAACTTCAATTTCCAAGTCTTGAGTGGTTTCCTTCACCTATGGTGTTTTTTTTTCTTTGCATTTTTAATGAGTTTGTTGATTTCCTCAAAAGTTTTGATTACCTTTCTTCCATTTCTTCAAGGGTGATTTTCGTTTCTTCTTTAAAGTCCTCTATCATCTTCACAAAGTTGGCTTTAAGGTTGTTTTCTTGTCCTTCTGCTGCAGGAGAATATGTTAGTATATTCAGTTCTTGCTGTCAGAATGTGGTTGTGATATATTGTCAGGGCTGTTTTTTATTGTATTCTTACATTGGCATTTAGGCATCTGGATTTGGGATGATTAGCTTTAGGTCCAAATTTCTGAGTCTCTCTCTCGTGTGTGTGTGTGTGTGTGTGTGTGTGTGTGTGTGTGTGTGTGTGTGTGTGTGTGTGTTCTCCTTGTTTTTTGTTTCTTCTTTATTGTATTCTTACACTGGCATTTAGGTATCTGAATTTGGGATGATTAGGTTTAGATCCCAATTTATGAGTCTGTTTTTGGTGTGTGTGTTTGTGTGTGTGTATGTGTGTGTGTGTTTCTTCTCCTTGTTTTCTGTTTCTTCTTTAGCCTTTTAGTCTTGTGGCCTGGATTTCTGGTTTTTGGTGTGACCTCTGATCTATTAGGGAGTCTCTGTCTATGTTGGGTGCTGGAGTTCTGGCAGCTTGCTATTTGTTGCAGTAAGGGGGTTTCTGTCCTTCTGACTGGTGTGGCTTGCACATGAGGAGGTGAAGTCATCTGGAGTTGGTGGGAAGGACTGTCCACAGGAAGGATGATGTAGTGGGAGAGCTAGATTCGTGGGATGCATCTTGGGAACATATTCTAGGGAGCCAGCAGTTCAGTTGGCAGGTGGGTCACTCACCTGTTCTTCTGACTGATATGGGCTGCACCTAGTAGTGGCAGAATCCAGCAATGGAAGGGGTGATGAAGTAGGAGGGCAAGAGCTGTCTGTGGTCTTGGAGAATAGAATTTGAGGAGTGGGGCAGTTTGGCTGTGGGGGGAGGGGTCATTCCTTTATTCTTCTGACTGGTGTGGCCTGCACCTGAGCAATAGGAGTGGGCAGTGCTCAGCAGTGGTGGGGTGGTGAGGACAGGGCTGTGGGATGTGTCTTGGAGGAAAGAATTTGTAATGAGCCAGCTCAGCTGTCAGAATTGTCACTCACCTCTTTGCCTGACTGGTGTGGCTTGATCATCAACTTAGTTTGTTTTTAAAAACAGAGCCCAACTAAGTTTTATTTTTTTAAAAAAAAATTGTGTTCTAAGTTTACTCTTAATACCATTTTAGAATTATCCATGCTAGTAAATGTTTATGAGACACAGAAATATTTGTCTTTGTATAGTTTCCAATTTACTACAGCGGATGTACAGAACTAGCCTCTTTTCCTAATTAATCTTTCATTATTTGGTGGCCAGAGAGATGGATCAACAATTTAGAGCATTAGTTATACTTGCAGTAGATCTGAATTCAATTTCCAGAGACTACAAGGCAGCTCATCTATTCCAGGGTGCCACACTCTCTCCTGTCCTCTGCACACACTAGGTGTGCACATGTATACATGAGACAAAGCACCCTCTTCTGTCCTCCACATGCACTAAGCATGTACATGGTACATATGTGTTCATAAGATAAAACATATAAAATAAATTAAATATAAAAATACACATTTTCAGTATATTTCATCAACACTATATTCAGAGGAACTGTCAATTGTTTATTCTTGCAGAAGTATAGACACTAATTTACAACTTTACAAGAAAATGAGAAATATTTTTTTTGACATGGTTTCTTTGTGCAGTCCTGGCTCTGTAGACCAGGCTGACTTTGAACTCAGAGAGACCCACCTGTCTCTGCCTTCTGAGTGTTGGGATTAAAAGTGTGTGCCACTAGTACCCAGAGAAAAATAACAGTATCATATAATTTGATAGGTATATAATATGACACATATTATAATTGGGTAACCTTTACTATCTGACTTCAATCACTTAAATTTCATGAAAATTTTCTGACATTACATATTATGTCTTCAAGTGTTGACACTATGGAGAATTATATGTGAAGATTAAAAACTTTTTAAAACTAATATAAAAATTGTCTTACCTAATTTTAATAATGTTCATTATTTATCATACTTATGTATTTATTTGTGTTTTCCAAGGATACATCCACTGTGAAATCCTTATGGTCTTACATGGACAATGTTTCTTAGTCCTATACTGAGATTATTTCTTTGCTGCAAGATGTGCTGTTATGGTTGTGCTGGTATACTGCTTCTGTGTGTCTAAAAATGTTAGATGGTCTATGGATTTCATGGTATATAATTTAAAACAATATTGCTTGCTACTTAAAATATTCAAAAGTATGCTGTTAGGTCTAGTATTTGTTGTTTATGATCAACACAACTTTCTTTTCTCTTTTTAGAGCAATGAAGTTGTCTACTACAATGCTAAAGATGATCTTGATGTGAGTATTACTTGAAATATTGCCTACATGAAACAGGATTTAATACATATAAAGAAAATGTTACATGACAAAAAGAAAACATTAGTTATATGTAGCAAGGTGATAATGGTTGTTATGCTTTTCTGATATCTACTGGGTGCTTACTGGCTTTTCTGTATTAGAAATGACTTCCCAGTCGTCCATTTCTGAACTATCATCCTCTGTATGTGTCTCAGTGTGTTCTTCAATGTTTAGATGTGTATTACTTTCACAAGGTTGAACACATAATATGATGAAAGAAGATAAAAAATATAAAACAAGTAGGTTTGGCCTTCCAAATAATTTATAAACACACACACACACACACACACACACACACACACACACACACACACACACGATATAATACAACTCCTAGTATATGCAACATTATTAATGTCTTCAAATAACAGATTTAACTGACTACTAAAATTTGTGCTGTTTTTTAACCATCTTTCACAAATTATCTTAATTTGTATGATAACACTGTGGAAAATACACATTTTCCCCTTTCATAGATGATAGCCTGGGTGTTTTTTTTTTTTCTTTTTATCTTTTTATTTGTTTTAATTTTATGTGTAAGGGTATATGTGTATATACATATATGTGCGTACTCATGTATGTGTGTGCTCCGTGTGTGTGTGGTTCTCAGAGAAGTCTGAATATGGAATCAGATCCCATAGATCTAGAGTTGCAAATGGTTGTGAGTTGTCATGTGGATGCTTGGACCAAAACTCAAGTTTCTCTGCAAAAGTAGGAGGTACTCCCGAATGCTGAGCTTTGTTGCCATCCCCACACTAAACTTTTTTTTTTTTTTATAAAGGTCTAATCTGTCCTCTGAATACAGAATTTTTTTTTATGTTTTATTGAGCGGTATCAGAATAAGAGTTAAGCCAGGTAGGTTCATGGGAGACTTCAGGTGGGAAAGTGAAGGAGTAGATGCTGAAATTATAATTTCAAAAACAGAAAAAATAAAATAAAAATATTCAAGTTCATCATCAATTTCCCTGTCAGTTGTATCTTTTATTGTTTAATTTATCAAACACTGACACTGATTTTATAATTCCTATTTTCTCGAGTGTTAAATTGTGATAATGACAGTAAACATGGCAAATAAATATTTTGTTCTAACGCTTACACAAGATATTTTTAAAAACTACTCTTATATATGTGAGATATTATCTATTTATATGTAAATTAATAGAGAACTTGGCAGAGAGTGTTATATAATATAAAGAAAATAATTGGAGTAATAAACCAATTTGTGCTCAGACAAGTCTTTAAATTCTAGTTACCCAGAAGTTATTAAATCCTATTAAAGCTTTAGAGGCTAGGCTGGGGAGCTGACTTGGTGAATAAAGTGCTTGCTACCCAAGCATGAGGACCTGGGTTCTGACACCCAGCACTCACTTAAGGAGCTGGTGTTGTTGCAAGTATATGTCATCCGACCATAACTCCTGCAGTATTGTTGCTCTGCTGGTGTAACCAGCCTGTGAGATGAATGTGAGATCCATTCTCACCAAAGAACCTGGAGACTGATTGAGAAAGCCACTTGACATTGACTTCTGCCATCCACACTGGCATGTACCTCACACTTGTTTAACCCCATGCAAGTTCTTCACCTAATGTAATGTAGTTGACTCCAACTGTTTTGATTTCACTCCATTTCTAACATGAATCCCTATGAGAGTTTGTATTTGAATGGTGAATATACCTGACATATATAATGACTTTGTACATATTATATGATTTAATACTTAAAAGGAAGGAGAAAAGACATCTAAAAATTTCTTGTTATAAAATTATAACAATTATATCAAGACTACACTTAATGATAAAGAACTGTGTGTTTTTTTTTAATGTCAGGACAAAAGATAATTGAGGTCTTGACAATAAAGCAAGATCAATGAGGTAATTTCACCATGGTTAAAATATTACACAATATACACAGATATTGTATCAGTACATGGTATCCATTTAATACATGTATTTCAGTGTTTTACATATTAGTTAAGCAATTATTTTTAAAGGAAAGAAAATATTTATTTCTTGATAAACATGGATCGTTCTTGACTCTCAGTAACTCTCACACCAGGCATTAGAAATCACCCATGGCAAACATTCTCTTAATTCTATAATTCAGTTTAACATAAGGGAAAGTCCCTATTAAGATGTAATTGAAATTGATATTAAATTTCAAGAAACAACATTTGCTTTACTGCAGAAAACCAATGGTCAAAGTGCTGACATGGAGCAGCCCCTTCACAGGAACCTTCCCTCCCTCCCAAGGAGCCACTGTAGCTCACCGCCAAGGAGTGAACCCTAGTACATCAGTACACATGATTCTCAGCTGTCACAAGGGCATGGCATTGGATGTGGGCCTTAAAACATGGCAATTTTCCTTTCTCTAGCTGAAAACATTTTTAAAAAACCCCAATAATTTGTTCTATTTATAATTGCTTTTAACCACAAATGACATATAGCCCATAAAGCATATACCATGAATTATTATAAACCACTCCAAACACATTGTAGCTGGTATAGTGAAATAATTTATTTTAGATGAACAACAACAAAAACTTCCAGGATAATGAATAATTCATTTGTTACACAAGACCAACTGACATTTTTTTTCTATGCGCTCTAAGGATTCTGCATTTACCAAATAAAAACTGCATGCTATAAGAAACTAGTATGTCAGCAAATAAACCTAGTTTCATCATTTTTAAAAATAATTATAGCAGACTATATTACTGTATGAAGCCTATATTGCATCATCTCACCATAGAATCAGATTAAATTAAATTATCAAGAATCATTAGATTTCTAAAGAAATATACAAAATACCATCCTAGAATTCCTTTTAAAAGTTCAAGACTACCAAGAAGAAAACAAATAAATATGTATTGGAGCTCTGCATAGAGGCCAAAATGTCTCAGACCGGTCAAAAATTTAAATGATCAGTATAATAAAATAAAGCAAATAAATCAATTTCATTTAATAGCATGAGGTATCTAGGTTGTTCTTACTTCATTTGGAATGTACTTAGAGAAAGATTTCAAGAGAAATGTTTAAAGGGTTTGGAAAGCTCCAATTATTTTTTTTCCTACTCACTTGGGGATTTCAGGAAACAGAGCAAGCTGGCAGCACAAGTTAGGCCACTGGGTAATCTGTGCCCTATATGTAAAAAACATCCTGAGCCCTACATGCCTCACAATTGCCATCAAATATACTGTGTTACTTAATATCCTTGGAACTTCACCACAAGGAAATCACTCCGACTGGTTGGATGTTCTTACTTCTGATCATCGTTCCTGTGGACCAGTGAGAGGAAGGGGCAGATGGGCAACAAAGAGGAAACACCTGAAAGGCTACTAAGAACTTTGAAGCCTGTCACATTACATGATCAAAAAAAAAAAAAAAAAACCAAAAAACAAAAAACAAAAACAAAAAAACAAACATTTACCTTAAAGATCAATTTTATATATATATATATATATTATATATATATATATATATATATAAATAAATAAAAGCTGGTTTTCCTTCTCTTCTGTTTTGCTTGATCCAAGTTAATAAAACCACATTTTCTTTGATCTCATGGTGGTGAGTACTTGCCCTTTACTTCACAAAAGAAGTACCTCTTTACAACCAATTGGCCTTCACAAACACTCTTGATATAAGGTCACTAAGAGACAAACAGGTTCAATAAGCCTCATCAACAAATAGAAGTGATGTCTTAAGTGTTTTGCTTGGCAAAGCATTTTCCACAAAGCCAGCAATAATTTACAAATTCCCAGAATACTCTGAGGAAGGAAGACCACCTGATCCTTAGAAAATGGATTTGTCAGGTGAGCCTATTTTTTATTAGAAAAATACCACTCTGTGATTAGCTAACCAGAGATGTAAGTCAACATATATCAGAACAATTTACCTATATATGGTTAGATTGCCCTATTCCACCTTATACCAGGCAAGTGTAAATATCATAAGTTGAAAAAGAGGCGAAAACAAGCTATAAAATGTCATTGAGCAATTATCTGAAGACAGAACCCCCAAAGTGTTTCCAGGTGGCTCCATATAAACTGGCTCCTTCACGGAGGTTTATGAAAGAGTGCATTCTAAATAAACAACTGATCACTGTTACATACTTTTTTTACTTTGAGGGAGGCCATGAATTATCATCATAATGTACATAGCAATGACCTGTACTTGAGCATATCAGTCTTCAAGACAAATATGAGTATGGTGACATGTTGAAGGACAAAGAAATCGGACTATAAATTTAATCATGCTTTCAATGAGAACTGAACTCATGGCCTTTCTATGACTTATTTCTGTTATGAAAGCTTCCCCTACATTCTCAAATACTTATCAACTAACATTCTCCAACTCCATATACTCCTTGGTCCATTACATGTTGGTGTTCTGGGATCTTTTATATTGCTTCTTCACTATTGGTTTGATTTGTAAAGCATACTTAGTTTAAGATGACAGGAGGTAGATAGGGATACTATGACAGGCCCAAGAACATGTTATATGGAAAGGTAGTCAAACTAACTTTGTTTTTTAATACTGCTTGAGCTCATCAAACTAAATACTTCCTTAAATCCAGCCCTGTCAAATTCATCTGTTTCACATCTGTTAGGAAGTTTCAGCCACTAATTTTCAATTCAACTTGTAAGCTAAACATAGAACTCTATTCTAAATGATTGTCCTAAACAACCAAACTAAACATTTAACTGTCTACTAGAGATCTCCACTTAGATGTCCTTGAGCAATGTTTTTCTATAAATGTTCTTGACTTTTTAAAACCTTTAGTCTGAAGCATGGTACACCACCCATAGCCACAACAGTACAAAATAATTCTAATTGCTGTCTCCCATCGAAACTGATGAATCTCTGCTCCCTATGCTTTGGCTTAATCTTTGTTGTCTCAAACTTTATGGTTTACATTTCTGCCTCTTGTCCTCGATCTTAAA